GTCAGGAAGCCTTCTTAGCAGCAACGGCATTGGAGTCCTTACTGGCCCCCGAGTGCAATGTTTTGGGTTCAGATCCCACCTCTAATCTTGGGCAAATGACCTAACCTCTTGGGCCTCAGTTTCCCAATTGGTAAAGTGAAAGGGTTGGGCTAGATGGTTTCCAAAGCTCCTTCTGTCTGTAGATCTGCAGGCATATTGATCATGCTCTAAAGGGTGGGAATTCAGCAGGCAGAGTAGGAGTCTATAAGGAGAGAAAAGTGGTTTGGAGGGGAAAAGTCCTGAATTTGGGGTTAGGAGACCTGGGTTCATATCTTATTTCTACTACTCACTACCTGAATGACTTATGGGCAACTCACCCAACTTTTCTGGGCCTCCAGTCCGCTCTCTTCAAGAGGAGGAGGTCAAATCAACCCGACTCCAAGGTTTCCTCCTACCTGTGTAACTTTGGACAAGTCGCAGAACCCCTCTGGCCATTTCCCCACCTTAAAATTCCAGGGCACTATAATGGTACATGGTACCCACCTCTTGAGAGAAAACTAATGGACTCAAGATGCAGAGTAAGACAGACGTACATTTCTGGGCATGGCCAGCGTGGCAGTTTATTTTGCTTGACTATCATATTTGTTACAAGAGTTTTGTTTTACTTTGTAGGAGGTGGGGAGGGAGAAGAGGAATGTGGGTGGGAGAAAAAAAAATAAATACTTGTTAATTGAAAAAATTTAATTTTTAAAAGGAGAGGGACATTGAAGTAGATGGTTTCAAGGCCCCCTAAATCTCTGATTCTAAGATTCTTCAGTTGTAAAATGGTAACTATAGGATTAGTTAACCATGCTAACAGTGTTCTTCAAGAGACACCACACACTTAACACTTCACATCACCTTTCTAAAACACTATGTAGAAGTATGCCTGTCTGCAGACAGGCATCTCGAAGTGTTACAAAATCCTCAACCCAAACAAGCTTGTTCTGGCTATAAATAAAAATTCCCCACTGCAGAGAATGCTGCAGCCTGTCTGAAGCTGAGAAGCTGGCACCACCTAGACTCTAAAATAAACTGCAGGCGGTGATTTGGTGGAGAGGCCATTGAATGGACAGTGTCTCCTTCCTCCCTGCCCCTGTGAGTAAAGATGACCTGCAGCAGTTTGAAAAAGATTCCTATAGGGAATCAGTAGTGACTGGCACTGATTGAAGTGGGGGTGGCAGCAGGCTGTGCCAACGTGTTGCCATGTGCCACAAAGAAGCAGAAATAGGGACCTTTGTGGCAATTAGAGATGGTCCTCACCACCATCACCAAGCCCCTGCCTTTTTTCAAAGGTATTTTTTGTGTTTGGCTCTTGTCCCAGCATGACTGCATAGTTTGAATACCAGGGTTCCTTATAGGCCTGCTGAGCTTCGAAAGGAAGGAGGGGCTGGCTGGGAGCTTTTGTCCAAATGACACAGAATCAGAAATGCCTCACTTCTGTTCCTACACACACACACACACACACACACACACACACACACACACACACACACGTGTATCCCACACATGCATATATATAATGTATGTCAGATACCATGTTGGAACCTGAGGGCACAAGATAAAAACCAGCAAGGCCCCTACAGTTAGAAAATGTAGCAAAAAGAGAGCTGGCCTCAGGGTCAGGAAGAGCTGGGTTCAAATCCACCTTTATGACCCTTGTGAAGTCTCTTTATCATCTCAGTGCCCCCAGCCAACTTTCTAGAGCTCTCAGTTGCAGGACGGTTACAGATCTACATTGGTAGAGGGTGTTTCTTCATTGGGGGTTCCCTCTGCCAATGAAATCACAGACCCCAAAAAAGGACCTACTTCATTATTTGTTGTGAGATCATATATATCAACTGTTCTGCAAACCTTAAAGCACTGTAGATAACTGCTTGTATTGTTATTAATCTAATAATGGGAAATTAGATATATAGATAAACATGGTATAAGGGCAAAATAGTGATCTAAACAAGATACAATAAAAGAATGTGGGGAAGGACCTTATTTTTGATGGTGGAGGGAATCAGAGGAGGCTTCATGGAGATAGTTGTACCTGTGATATACCTTTAGGGGTGAAAAAAAATGGTTCTTACAGGTAAAGTTACGAAGAGAATGTATCCTAGGTGAAGAGGGAGGCCTGTTTGAAGGTACAGAACAGGACCCAGGTCAGTTGGGCTAGAGCGCAGAGTGCATGAAAGTGTATTGTGATGCCGTGTCGTTGGGAAGGTAGTCTAGCCATCGTCACACTTCTCTTCCCAAAAGCGGTCTTCCCCACCCCCACCCCAAGCCAGGAGCTTAAGCCTAAGAGTGGCAGGAGCAGGACAATGAAATGCCAACTGATACGAGGCCAGGGGACTCAAACTGCTGAGCCTGAGGGATGATGACTTACTGGGGATTTAACTTTCTCTGCCAGAGAGAAGAACATGTAAGTGGTGCCTTTATTCTAAGCAGCTGAAAGTAAATACAGAGATAAAAGCTGTCAGTATAGTTGGTCAGCAACATTTATGAAGGGCCCACAAGGTGCATTCATTGTTATTCATTTAATAAATATTTACTGAGAACACCTCTGTTCAAGGCACTGTGGGAAATAAAGTTCCTGCTTGTGTGGGACATACAGTCTGTAGCCAGGGAGGCAATAAGAACTGACATTTATATTATACTTTAAATGTTGCAAAAAACCCCATTTTATATAGCATTATCTCATTTGTACCTCACATCAAGGCTGCCAGGTTGATATCATGAATATTATCTCCATTTTACAGATGAGAAAATGAAGAGTCATATGTTAAGTGACTTAACTTAGCTGTTGAGTTCAGAATCAGGTTTCGAACCTGGGTCTTCTGACTCCAAGGATGGCGTTCTTTCCATCACTCTGAACTGCTCCGGATGATATACCTACATCCATTCCTTTATCATCTAACATTTATCAAGTACACTGTGTTAGATGCATATGCAAATACTTTACTGTCAGGCAGCCCAGTCTTAAGAATGGTACAGACGATAAAAAATAATAATTTGCATTTATGTGTCCATTTATAAATGTAGTATATTTGTAAAGTGTTTTCCTCACAACAGCCCTATAGAGTCGGTTGTGAGTTTAAAAGGATGAGTTCTCTCCAGACCTTAGTTAGACAGCCTGAGGAGGAAGCATGGGGTACCATCTATGAGATTTTTTTCTTTTTAGTCAATGCTAACAGTCCACAGGAAGGGTTGAGCTTAGGGCCTTACACATGGTAGGTGTTTAATAAAGGTTGGTTGAATTTAAGTGTTTTGCTTTTCAAAGGCTGACAGCTTGTGAGATTTGGGAGAGGTTAAGGGTGATGTTCCCTTTTCCCTGCCTCACTTTCTTTTCTTTTCTTTTTTTGGGATTAAGTGACTTGCCCAGGGTCACACAGCAAGTAAGTATCAAATGTCTGGTCTGAGATCAGACTTGAACTCAGGTATTCCTAACTCCAGGGCCAGTGCTCTATCCACTGCACCACCTAGCTGCTCCATCCCTGCCTCACTTCCATCCTGGACCAGATGACCTCTGAGGTCTCTTCCAACCCTGACCCCCTTTAGTTCTCATCTTTGCTTTGGGGGCCCAGGTAATGCTGTGGAGCTAGTTTCATCTTCCTCCCTCCTTTCCATGAGAACAGAAATCGGAATGAATTAGGCAAAAGAGAAATGTGTGCTGTCTGTCCCATTTGCATTTAGTTTCGCTATGAATTGCTGCTGCTTCCTTCCTGTCCCAGCTAGATAAGTGAAGTTAGGCCAGAGGCACAGACCCCTCCTGTAATAGGTACCTGTGTGCCAGGCACTGTGCTGCACACTGTACAAATATTATTTCATTTGATCCTCACAGCAGCTCTGGGAGGTTGATGCTGTTATCCCCATGTTACAGTGAGGGAACTGAGACAGACAGAGGTTAAGTGACTTGTCTAGGGTCATACAATTTTAGTGTATGCAGCTGAATTTGAACTCAGGTCTTCCTCACCCTTATCATTCTATCCACCAGCCCACCTAGCAGCAGTTCTTCATTCCAGAGGAAAAGGGAATCATTAGCAGTAGATTCTCAACAGAAGAGATAGTGCTGCAACCATTGCCCAAGTAAAGGGGACCCCAGATTTGTTGTTCCAAGTAAACTGTAGTACTACCTCCATTCATCAGCCTTCAAGTATACAGAGCCTTCTTCTTGTGGGCTAGGATCCTGTCTACTACAGCATGCCTCCTCCTTACACCCGCATCCATTCATTTATTTATTCATCTGCTGAGTAACCGAGATAACTATAAGGGTAGTTCACTTAGAAATTCTTTTTAAAGTTGGAGTGGGCACCCACAGAGACTCTCCAAGCATGTGTTTTGGTAGCCACGTGCCTGGGGCTTGTCATTAAGCTTTTATACCTTGCCTGCTTCTCAGAAGGCTGGCGATGGCTTACAAGTTACACTAACAACAAAATAAAGCCATGAAGGATAAAATGAAACTGAGGCCTTGAAGAAGGAGCAAAGGAAGTAGAGGTACTGAAGATGACACAGTGACTGTCATCAGATCCTGAATTTGAACCCAAGGTTTCTGGCTGACAAGTCAGAATGATTACACGACTGAGCATTTTCTAATAAAAGCTTTATTTGCCCTCTTCCTGAGGCTTAGATTTCCTTGAAATGTTTAGCAGCTAAATCCTCTGTGTCCCTAAAATGGAAAATTTCTCAACAAAGGTATAGTGTGGGTCTGGCAGCTCAAGCCTTTTATGGAAAGTTTGTGTGTTATGTCTTATCCAATGAAGAGTTGTGAGTCAGAGCGGGGACCTTAATTTAAAAAAAAAAAAGGTAGAAATGGTGTTGTGTTTAGCTTCCTATTCTGATAGTCTTTTTAAAAAAATAGCGTTGCTATAAAGCTAGCTGCTCAGCTGCGGTTAATCTAATTACTTTTTCTTTTGTCTGTCTTTTCTCCCTTTCATTCGTGCATGTGTGTGTCTGTGTCTGTGTCTGTGTGTGTGTGTCCCACTTGCTTCCTTTAGTATAAGTCTGTGTTTAGGTCCTACTCCCAGGACTTCATGCCTCACAACCAAGCTTCTGTTCCACCTTTCCTCTCGTCTACCTCCTCTTCCTCTCCACATTTCCCACCTGTCCACCATTCTCAGAGCTCTGACCTAGTGGTGCCAACCACAGCCAGCCTGCCTCCCAGCACTGTGGATGGGCCCAATTCCTGTTCTCAGGAGAACAACTTGAATGGGAATTCTGTCTACCTTCCTTCTGAAACCTCTTTCACTGATTCTCTCCAGACGCCTTCGGTGAGACTTAAAAAAAAAATGCAACTTCCCATAGGACTGTGAAATTTTTAGAGCATTATTTTGTTTTTCCAAAATACTATCCCTTCCCTTCCTTGTTCTAGTAACAATAAAATCAGGAGTTTATGTGATAGTGAAACAGCAAAACTAGATTTTGTGTGTGTGTGTGTGTGTGTGTGTGTGTGTGTGTGTGTGTGATTGTGAGTAAGAGAGAGACAGACAGAGAAAGAGATTGAGATTTCAGGTAGGAAGGTGTGGTTGTAGCACAGAGGTCACTTATCTTGGGAGTGAGGTGACTTGAAGTAGCAGATCCTTTTGCTGGCAGTGTGACCTTGGGAAAGTCACCTCACTGTCTTTGAATTGCAGTTTCCTAACTTGTAAGATGAAGGGGTTGGATTAGATTTCTGTATTCTCTGAAGTCCTTTCTGACCCTAACATTCCATGAGATTGTGAAATAACATTGACAATGTGGAAGCACAATGTCTGCACTTAAGTCTGACGTTCAGTTTTATGTAACAAGGTTCACATCAAGTCAGTTAGTCAAATGAAATTATTAAGCACCTACTATTTGCCAGGCACTGTGCTAAGTGCTGGGGATACAGAGAGGCAAAAGATAAGAGTTGTTCATGAGTAGGCAGGGCCAATATAGTAAAAATGACAACTTGACCGAAACTAATTTATATATTCAGTGCCATTCCAATTAAATTACAAAAAAATTATTTTACTGAATTAGAAAAAATAATAAAATTGATTTGGAAGAACAAAAAGTCAAGACTATCAAAGGAAATAATGGGGGGGGGGAGCAAAGGGAGAAGGTTTAGTAGTACCAGATCTTAAACTATATTATAAGGCAGTAATTATCAAAACTATTTGGTATTAGCTAAGAAATAGAAAGGTAGATCAGTGGAACAGAGTAGACATACAATTTGTAGGAGCAAATGTATATATAACCTTGTATTTGACAAATGTAAAGACTTGAGATTTTGGGATAAGAATTCATTATTTGGTTAAAAATTATTGGGGAAACTGGAAAGCAATATGGGAGAAACTGGGCGTAGGCCAGTATCCTACACCATTTACCAAGATAAGGTCAAAATGGATATGTGACCTAGATATAAAGAGAGATATTACAAGAAAATTAGAAGAACATGGACCATGTTACTTATCAGACTTATGGATAGGTGAACAGTTTATGAATAAACCAGAGATAGTGGGCAAAGTTAGGTATAAAATGGATAATTTTGATTGCATTTGTACAGATAAAGAACAGTCCCTGCCCTCAAGGAGCTCACAGTCTAGTGGGGGTGGGGGAGACAACAAGCAGATGAGTATGTGCAAACTATATATAAGAAGTAATTAGAAGAGGGAAGGCCCTAGAATTAAGAGGGGTTGGGAGAGGCTTCCTGTAGGAGATGTGACTTAAAGAAGGTGGAAATGAGGAGGGAGAACATTCTAGCCAGAGAAAATGTATGAAGTCTGGCGATGGAGTACCTTGTTTGAGGCACAGAAAGATCGCCAGATTGAAGAGTTGTGATTGAAGGTGTGAGAAGACTGGAAAGACTGGGGGCAGGGGGGATGTGGCTCTTTCCATTGTGTCTCAGACATCACAAGGTCATCATTTAGAGGCAAGTAACCAGCGGATGTTGTTATATGTTAAAGAAAGTTTAGCTTGGATTCTGGTTCTGTTTCTAGACGATCACGTTTTCCTTTAAGTTGTGTCCACCTTGGGAAGTGAGGGCCGTGCAAGCCAGTTCCTTACTCAGCTGCAGGGAGGGACTCGAGAACCTTTAAGGCCAGTCGCCTTGGTTCCCTTAAACTGCCATGTGAGTCAGCATGGTAGGGGGGACCCTGCTGCTGTTAGTAGAAGGGGTGGAGAGAAAATCCGGGCCTGACTTTTCCTTGTGCTGAATGGTTCACATACACATCTGGGTTCTGTTGTCAGACCTTCTCTTTCCACATCGACATCTTCTCCAGCTGCACTGGGGGACTGCTGCTTCCCTCTGCCACCTTCTCCTTGCTGCCTTAGGACCCTTCCAGAGGTCCCTCTTTGTCATCTCTCTGAGAGTAGTCAGGAGGATGTTTACATTTATGGCAACACTAGTGCAGAGGCCAGAGGTGGGGCTGGGGTCTCTGCCATGTGACCCAGAAGACGTGAGCAGAAATACACTTTCTCTTTAAGGAAGGAGGTAGTTGAGAGAGTCAGGATCTGCTCTGTTGGCTACTCACGCTGGACTTGAGAGGCTGCTGCTGGGCTCCAACACGTGTGTCTTTCCTTTCATCCTGTCTCCCATAGAGTGAAAACGCCAGTGAGGATGCTGGTGAGGGTGAATATGTCAATTTGTATTCCTCTGGCCAAAGCAACGGGGAACTCCCTCACTCTGAAGGAGTAAGTAATATGCAGAAGGCAGAACGAAGCTTTTGGTGCATGCCGAGTCAACATGGGGTGGGGCAGCCTGCTTTCTCTGAGCCTGCCCATCCACCATCAGGATGCTTCTGTGTGGCTGTGCTGACTTACCCACCACCATGTGAATGGAGGGCAGCCCCATTCAGATGGAGAGCAGAAACATCTTTGCTTCTTTTCAGGCTTTGGTATCTCTTGTCCTGGCAGCGGTTTTACTTTGACATTTGCTTTGACGCACGTGGCAGTCTTGGTGATAGGTCCAGGCCTTATACTGAAATGTCTCTATGGGGCTTTTGCCTATCCTTCCTTTTATGGTAAAGAGCCTCCCATCCCACCCTCATAGAACAGAAAATGTAACTTCTCCCACACCAAGACTGAGCCTCCCTTATCAAATCATTTCCTCTTCCTCCTCTTCAGCATGTGTACTGATCCTACCATTGGTAAATTCCTCCCAGAATTCTGGGTGAGTCACCCAGGGTAGCAGCTTCTGTGTTTATGCATACACTGCACATGTAGCCATTTGACGGATTGCTTGACATCTCTATCTTCATTCCATCGTTGCTTCCATTCGTGACACTCGAGGAACAACAGTTTTTCCAAACATTCTTTCTGGTTTTGATTTAGTAAGGCAGGCTCAAGTTTAAAAGCATCTTCCTTCAGAGACTGTGTGATGGTTGAAAAACGGAAACCCAGCGATGCCAGAAGGCAACTCCTGGTGCCCCACGCTAACCATGAAGGGCTAGCATGAGAAGACTGTCCTGAGGCCGGCTCCTGGATCCTTACTTTTGCCTGGGCCACTGATGCCACAAGTTTTTGACCTCGTTATTTCGTTATTGAGCACTTAGTGTTGATCCTGTCATTCAAAAAGTTTGGTCTTCCTTTTTTTAATTATTAAGACAAACCCAGAGTCTTACCAAGTGTCCCTGCTCTCTCCCTGATCACCCCCTTCCCCCAAAAAAAATTCTTCTGTGCTCACATTGAGCAAGACCGAGCTCAGAGTTCACAAAGTTACAGTTCATCTCAGAATGTCAGGCCATTGGCAGCTGATGGACCTGGGCCTACCCATGCCAAGGGAGCTGGGATATTTCTTTCCTCATGCTCCCAGTCCAAAGTCATCATCCCCCTCTGGTGGCCTGGTCCAATTCCATCTCTGCATGAGAGAAGAAAAATTCTGATTTACTTTTCTTGGCTGTTTTCCCTCTCTGAGAAATGGCTAACTTCAGGTGCCACGTTTTTCTTCTCTTTGAACTCAACTCCTGCTGTCGCACTGCATACATTCAGGCTGCTCTGCTTCCAACATCACCTCCAGTACAACAAACCACAGTGTTGGAGTTTCATTATTTTTGCAGAGAGACCCTGAGAAAGAGAAAGTAGGGGAAGAGAGCTTGCACGTCTAGGCCTGAATTAGTGTGAACTTTAAATACCATGAAGGTCAAAGTATTTGAATTTTCATTCCATATTTCCATTGGGCCAAAACCAATATTTTACATATAATCATAAACTCTAGTAGTGTGAATTCAAATCATGCAGGCCGTTTCAAGGGATTCATTATACACATATGTGAATATACTTTGGCAAGGTGATTACAGGGAACAAAAACTGAAAAAGACAACTGGGAGGGCAAACAAGATGACTTGAGCTAAGGCAACGATAGAACATAAGGCTTTTCGTGAACCAGAAAACGAGCAAAGGTTTCTTGAGAGATCTTCCAAAAGGTGATTGGTTTATTTTAGTTCATTCAGATTGGCAGCTGATATGTGTTATAATTATTTGGTGTCATTTCACAGGGTCAGAAAGAAACCATGAGGCAAGACTTTAGTCCCAAGTGAAGCTCACAGATTTCCTATGTAATTATCTTTGAGGTTCCATCGTTAAAACTCCTAAGAACATGCAGGCAAGAATGCTGGGAGACCAGAGCAACCCTAGTGCTAGTGTTACAACCAAAGCCTTGTTTCCTTTTTCAGGAATCACCAGCTACAAAAGACGGACACCCCAAAGATTCCACCTCATATGGCAGCTCCTCCGGGAAAGAAAACAGAGAAGGTGGAGAGAGGTAAGAAATGTATCCCACCTGAGCCATCTCCTCTTCTTCACCTCCTTCCATCCCTGTATCCCCTAAAAAAAAAAAATCAGAGGCCAGTCCGATCCGAGGATAGGTGGAGTCTCCTCCCTGCCGCTTAGTGTAGCGGTAAACCTGGACTTTGCTTTGTTGGAGTGGGAAAGACTACAAGGGCTGCTTTTAATTTTAAGGGATTTTTTTTGTTGTTAGGAGAGATGATTTTTCATTTTTTAAAAATGAGTTGGCAAACAGTGGTGCCAGAACATCTAATCTGTCCTCCCTCTGCCCTCCATGGATTGGAAAATGTAACTTTCAGAGTTTCATAGAGTCCTTCTCAAAGGATTTTCATCTCCTTGTCCTTTTGTGAAGGTACAGCTGCCATCTGTAAGGCAGATGCTTAGAGCTGTAATTTCTAGGGGTGGGGATTGGGGTTAAACTGGTATTTTCCCTACAGGCAATATAGTTTAGCACAGTGGTTCTCAACCTGGAGTCCCAAGTCATCGCTGGATAGATTTCTGGGCATCTTTGGACTTGGATGGAAAGGAAAAAATTACATCTTTATTTTCACTAACTTCTAAGTGAAATTTAGCATTTCCTCTAGATGTTTAAGAACATTATTATGAGGAGGGGTCCGTGGGCTTAACTAGACTGCCAAAAAGGTCCACAGCACAAAGAAGGTAAAGAACCCCTGTTCTAGCAGAAAGAACACCAGCCTGGGGGTCAGATGGCCCAAGAGTTAGTCTTGGCCCAATAACAACTAGTAAATTATGTACCTGAATTCAAATTTGGCCTCAGACACTTACTAGCTATATTACCCTGGACAAGTCACTTAACCTCTGTTTGCCTCAAGTTTCCTCATCTGTAAAATGGGGATAATGATAGCACCTACCTCCCAAAGCTGTTGTGAGTCTCAGAGGAGATAATATTTGCCGATGCCTGGCACATAGTAGGGGCTTATATAAATGCTAGCTATCATCATTATTATTTATAATTCCTTCTTTGGGTTTCAGTTTCTTTAATTCTAAAGTAAAGGAGTTAAACTTGATGACCTGTAAAGTTCCTTCCACCTTTAAATCTATGAACCTATGAAATGCCTCTCATTTTATGTCGCTCTGTACACGTAAGAATGCAGTAATTTCATCCACATTAAATTCAGCAAACAAAAATGCAGCTGCTCTGACAAAATTCTGCTAGCGTCAACAATCAGCAATGAGGATTTTTTAAATCACCCTAAAACAAAATATTTTAACTGATTAGAATCATGCTTTTTTTTTTAAATAGGAAGTACCTCAGAGATAATCTAGCTATAGACTGTGTTATTTTACAGATGAAGAAACTGAGTCCCACAGAAGGGAAGCATTTTATCCAAGGTCATGCAGCCAATCAGTTGCAGAACCAGGAATAGCTAGAATGAAAATGTCCTAACTTCCAGTTCCTGTGCTTTATGCCGTATAGACTTCTGTTGGAACTTGTCTTCCCCATTAGAATGTAAGCCTCTGGAGAATAAGGATTGTTTTTTCTCTTATACTTGTGTCTACAATGCCTGACACGTAGTCAGAGCTTAATAAATACTTGTTGGTGAATTGATTCTGTCATGATTCCCTTTACCTCTTAGGGCTTAGGGAAGCCTAGAGACCCTCCTCCGTCATCCGAACTCACTCATCCCTTCCTTGCCCTGCCCATTCTTGAATCTCTAAGAGCCTTGACCATCACCCTTCCTCTTCCAGGCAGCTGAAGTCCCCAGATGGTTTGGAATTGACCCAGTCTGAGGAGGAAGTAGATGAGCTCTCTCTGATTGACCACAATGAAATTATGGCCAGGTTGACGTTAAAGCAAGAGGTAGGTAATTTAGGCTGTTCCCTTTTAAAACCCCCAGTTTCAGAGAATTTTACACAGCTGGAGAAAGGGGGAAGTGGGTTTTGGGTAGTTTCCAACCTTCAAGGAATTTAAATAGCAAAGACCAGGTGACTGAGGCTAGCCCATGCTACCAGAGGCTGTGAGGATTCCCTCCGGCTGGTGAAAATGGCAGTCACTACCCTGCTTTGTACAACACCGAGATGACTTCTCTGCACCTTCAGGCCTGTAGACACAAACTCACCCAATGCACCACTGCTGCTATAGGTTTCTTCCATCTCTGCCTTTTTGTTGAAGCAGCATGGCTGAGTCGATAACATCCTGGGCTGAGTGCTGGGAAGATCTGGCTTCAGATCCAGCTGTTTGCTGTGGGCAAAATCATTTCATTTTTCTGAGCCTCAGTTTCCTCATCTGCAAATAAGAACTAATCCTCCCTGTAGTGCCCATTTCAGGGAGTAGATGCCTGACACAACTGAGATGATATGTAAAAAGTGCTAAATTGCAGAGAAGGTGTTGGCCTGCATTGGTCAAGGGAGTTTCTTATGCCAGTGAAATCATGCCTGCTCCTTGTCCTGATCATCGTTATTAATTAAATGTGGTAGTCACACCCTGATACTGAGGCTGCTGCCCATCTAGGTTACCAAGTAGCTTCAGAAATTCAAACACTTGACAGAGTAGCCTGGTCAGGCCTTACGGAGCTAGCACTGCTTCTGGGCTCTGGGACTGAGGCAGGCAGGCAGGCAGGCAGATAGACATCCTTCTTGGTCTGCTGATATCCCAGATTGGCTCTCCCTGACTCAGGGCCAGTAGAGTAATGCATTCATCCTGAAAAGCTTTCAGCATGTCAAGGAGTGTGGAAGGGCAGCAATCTATCACTGGCCTGCACTTACAGGAGGCTCACTTTGACAGCTGAGATCCACTGAAGAGAGGGCTAAGCCATTAATAATCCCCTAAGTGCTATTTCGTGACCCTTGCCAGAATTTCACCTGAAAAATCACATTATGGGCCCATCCACCCACAGCTAGAAATGCAAGGTGCTTCTAGCACTCTGGACAGAGGGGAGGAGTGAGTACCAGGTGCTACTCGGGGGTGTTTGCCCTAAGCATCAAGAGGAGGGGTGATATTTGATCTTGATCCGGCTTCAGAAAGACACAATGCACAAGTGTTTGGTGGTTAGAGCCCAGGCTGCAAGACCCTCGGTTCCCTGTGTAGCCCTGACACCAGCCTGTGACTCGCTTCTTTCTCTTTTGTTTCCTTCTTCACCCAAACGAGGAGAGCTAGCCTGACACCCCGTGTCTGACGGGGTTGAGTGGCAGCTGACCAAGGCATAAGGTTCTTTGTAGTCCTCTAGTAAAAGGCCTTGTGGGTGTGCTGTTGTGGCCGAGTAGTGATCAGCACAACACCTGCAAACACAAGCACATCCAGCCAGGGGAGAGGCCTGAGCACAGGGCCCATTCTGCTTGGAAGGACGGGGTGAACCTCAACCTTGTGGGAAGCTGATGCCCACCTCAGCCATTTCCCTTCTCTCACCACTCACTTTTCAGATTATCTGTTAAAACCTTTCATCTTACCTGTTGCTTGAATTCAACACATACTGATAAGACATGGGGATGAAATGAGTACTGTCCCATTGTCAGGTGGTTCAGTTTCCTCTGATCCAGCAATGCCTGAGAACCCCAAGTTCTTACCCCCATTTCCTCCACACGAGTACATAAAGATGAGCTCTTGTCTGTGACCCCTGGAGTCCTGTTTTTCCACGCTTGGTCACTGAGCTTGGGCCTCCGTCGGGTTATATTATGACTCTTTTCTCTTTAGTGATCTCTCAGATATAACTGCCCTAACCTTCCCATATCTTTTGTCTTCACAGCCCTAAGCCCTTATATGTGAGACTGAACCAGAAGAGAGATTTGGGAGCTTCCCCTCTGCCCTGTATTAACCATTTCTGTTTTCATTGCAGGGTGATGATGGGCCAGATGTCCGTGGGGGATCTGGGGATATATTGCTGGTCCATGCAACTGAGACCGACAGAAAAGGTTAGTGAACTTGACTGTTAGGGAGCGAGCCCCTGCAATACTGTTTAGCCCCGGGCTGTGCCCATGAGGCTAGCATGATGCTAAAGAATCCAGTCTTGGTTCAGCCCCTCTCTAGACTGGTGGCATTGCTCTGTGTTGTGAACACAGCCTGCCCCCTAGACAGGAGGTAGTTGTTTGAGGGTGTGTGCCATTGACCAGAGAGGAAATTCAGGCAAATGAATACATAGGAATCAGAAAACTCATTCCTAGCACTAGAAGAACAATGCAGAATGGCATGTCTTATCGGCATTGGGTCATCAGCATTATCTTTGTAAGGGAGGGACAATGGGCCGTTGTGGTGTTACATACTCTTCATCATGAGCCCTGTACTTCATCACACTATATTAATCCAGCCTCAAGCTGTGAGGGCTTCATTCATGTGCATTCCTAGGACATTGTTGGAAAGGAGTTCATTGTCCTCTCTGGTGAAAGAGAACAGATAGATGGGTCCCTTAACCTCTCTGGGTGTCCCTTCCTTGTCTATAATGAAGAAACTGGACCAGATGATCCATCGGGCTACAAGCACTTATTAAGCACCTACTGTGTGCCAGGCACTGCTAGGTACTGAGAATGCAAAGACAAAATGGATGAGTCCGTGCCCTTTGGGAGCTTTTGTTCTAGCAGGGTAGAATGAGTTGAGGGTCAAGACCTAAGCCTCCCATCCTTTGTACAAAAGTGCTTGATTCTATCATACTCACAGAAACACTGCCCTCATAGGAGGAAGTGGGATGTGAGGAGAGCGCCTCTATCGGTAGAAGAAAAAACCCCTCTGACATAGAGAACACTAGATTGGAAGTCATGGCCCAGCTTTGCTACTCCCTCCTACCTGTGAGACCTTGGACCAGTCATTTAACCCTCTCATTTTCAGTTTCTTTATCTGTAAGTTGCAGAGATTAGACTAGATCAGAGGTGTCAAACTGGTAGCAAAACTATAAGCAGGCCACAGAAAAATGTAACTGGGAGATGTTTAACAAAATAAATATAAATACAATACAACATAGATAAGGTGAATTTGTGGTTGTCTAAGTTAATGTTTGACACCACTGGACTAGATATTTTTTTTAGGTTCTTCCTAGGTCTTAATTTTTAACCTTGTGAATTAAGACTAATGCAGGTGAGTCTATACAAACTTTCCCCAGACTCTCATTTATTCATTTAACATTTAGTAAGCATCAACAAAGCACTGTGCTGAGGGCTAGGAATACAAAAGTAAAAATGACAGTCGCCGCCCTCAAGGAGTTTACAAACGAAACTACTGAGGTGGGGTTGGGGGGGCTGCAGGGGGAATCAGGGTGGAGAAGCATGCAGATAAGTAAATAGAAATGTGTACGGAGTCATTTTGGAGGGTGGGAGGACACCAGCAGCTGGGGGGAGTCAGAAAAGGCTATTCCGGAAGAAGTGGCCCTTAAGCTGAGCCTTGAAGGGAGCTAAGGATGCCCCAAGGCAGAGGTGGAGAAGAGCTCTCTAGACATAAGGGGACGCCCTTCTCAAAGGCACAGATGTGAGGGAAGGAATGTCAGATACAGCAGGCAGCCCAGGGCAGTTTGGCTGGCTTTGTAGGGTGCTAAATCAGTGAAGAAAGTAAGCACCAGAAGGTGAAGGACTTTAAATACCAAAGGAGTTTGTCCGTTATCCTAGTGGCAGTAGAGAGCTATTGAAGCTTCTTGAGCACAGCTGAAAGACTGATCTCCTGTGCCCATCCAGAAGAGACTGTAGCCCTTTCTGTTTTTACTTAGGCCACCTGGGCTGGGACTCCTCACTATGCTCACTTACAGTGAAAATTTCTCACCCTAGTTTTTTCACCCATTTTTCCAAGTGACTGAAAAGGACATGGATTAAAAAGGGAAATGGAAGACCTTTGTTTCTCCTAGCAGAGAACATCGATTGTGAGATCTGAATGGGGACCTTAGAGAGGAACCTTTATTTCGTGGAGAAGGACACTAGGGCCCAGAATGGTTAAGCGATTTTCCCAAGGTCACACAGTGAGCCAGTGGAAAGCCAGGCCTGGCACCCAGGATTTCACACTCCCAAATCATGTTCACGCCACTGTTCTTCCATGCAAAGTGATGAGGGTAGGGGGAGGAGGAGGAGGAGGAGGAGGGAGGTGCTTTGCTTAAGGATTTGGGGGTCTTTTTTATTTTTTTGGAGGTGAGGGGGTTCAAAGCAAGTGCAGAGGGTGTTGTTATGTCAAGGCCTGGTAAATGATCACTTTTTTTCCCTCCTTTATAGATTTGGTTTTGTACTGTGAAGCCTTTTTGACAACCTACAGGACGTTTATCACCCCTGAGGAGCTCATTAAGAAGCTACAGTATAGATATCCTTTATTCAGTGCCATCAGTAATGTTCAAGTTGTCCCCTCCAGCTCCAGAGTACTGGGGTGACTGAATTGGAAAGTTCTGAGGGGGCTGAGAAGGAAGGGTTCTATTAGCCAGGGGGGTTGTGATTAAGGGAAGTTTTCAGCATGGTCTGTCTTGAGGAACACAGGCTTCGGCCATACCCCACTCCTTGTGCCCCTCAACATTTGCACTTGTGAGTTTCAACTAGAACGGCTGAGACCCAGACTGGACCATATCCAGGATAAAGGGTGGAAAGGTGGCTGGAAAGGTCCTAAAAAACATGCTGTACAGGGACTGACTGGAAGGAGCTGGGAATGTGTAGCCTTGGGAAAAGTAGACTTCAGGAGGGACGCGTGACTGTTGTCTTTAGGTGTTTGAAGAATAAAATATAAAAGGAAGATTTAACTTGGCAAGGCAGCATGGTATGATGGGGAAGGTGCTGCTGTTCTTCAGGAAACACGTGGATTACTACTTGTCAGGGATATTAGGGGGAATTCCAGTTCGGGTAGGATTAAGCTTGATGAAGTCTCTTCCAGCTCTGAGATTTTGTAAATACTCACACAGACTGGCCATCGACTTGGTAGTTTTAAGCATCTTCATCATTCCAAGCTTGCTCAGTCATGAGGTCTCAGGTGTATAGCAGAGTTCTCACCCTAAAAATGTTGGGAGAGCCTGATATAGGAGGTAGAGGGGTCAGAGAGCACCAGTAAATGGTGCTCCCCTCAACTTGGAGCGGTCAGAAGTGATGTTTCATGAGGAGGCAGGAAGTGGTTTGAACTGGCTAATTGATAGTCATCATTTCTAGATAATCTGGTAATTGTGTGAGCACGCTCTCCCCCTACCCCCAACACACATGTCCACACCCACACCCCTCTCAGGGCTTAGAAGTATTTGCCTGTTACTGAGTGATCCTCTCAAATCCTGTAGACCAGCCCACGGTCTACAAAGCCTAGTCAAACCATGTAGATGCCTTAGTCTTGATAACTTACCAACAAAGATCTTGGGTGATATAGATATTTTGAGGTTGTTCTGAAGAAAGCCTTTTGTAAACCTTAAAGCCCTATAGAGATGGATTGGTATCATAAGAGTAGTTAGATTCAACTCTTCCCCAGTCACTGGCTGGGCAGGGTGGAGAAGCACTTGAAGATGTCGTATGAGGATTGGCTGAAGGAGCTGTAGGAAAGAAGGCTTAGCATCAAGCATGATTGTTCTCTTCAAGTGTCTGAAGGGCTGCACTGTGGAAGAGACATGCTTGTCCTGCTTAGCCTCAGAGGCAGAACTAGAAACAGTGAGTGAAAGCGATAGGCAAACGTTAGCTCAGTGTGAAAAGGGAATCATAAGGACCATTTTCTGCTCTCTAATACAGCCGCTCCATTGAGACTCACAGAGGGCACTGCTTGCTGGGCTGGCTCCACTAGAGCCCACACCCCTCTCCCTCCTCTCTTCCTGGATTCCAAGTCTGCTGGGGCTGCTGTTTCCCTGCAAGAAGCTTCCCAGGGAAGCTGTGATGTCTGGCTTGGTAGACCTTCCAGCCTCATAGCTCAACACTTCCATCTGCTGGACAGATGTAATTACTATTTCAACACAAGGAGAGAATCCCACTTCCATTGACCATCCCCATGCCCCGTGGCCCACCTGTGGCCCTACTGCTTCCATAGTTCAGTATCTCTACTCACCCCTTCTCTGCAGCACCTCCTCTTGGGAACAGTCTGCCCCTGCTGGCCCTCCTTCAAGTCTTATAAATTCCAATCCTAAAAACATATCATCTGGATGAGACCCTGCACGTCAGCCATTGATGTGAATAAAAGAGACCTGGTCATTTTAAGTTGGCCTGAAACTCAGCATGAGCCAGCTGGGTGGTAACAGCTGTTAAGGAAGAAGGCTTAGGGGATCTTCAGCTACCATCATAGAACTGTAATGAAATGCCCCAGGCAGTTTTCTGCTATCAGTTGTAAACAAGTTGTGAATATACTTCAGTGAAAGGAGTTTCCACACCAGGAATTACCTACCTACACTGATGAAGTCACAAAGCCATCCTCACCCCTGCCTCTAGCCCAAAATTTGAAGAACAAAATGTTTGTCCCAGTGTACCCTACAAGAGTTAGACATCTTAGGATCACAGAGTTAGACCTAGGAGTCTCAGAGGCCATCTGGTCCATCTTCATTTTACAGATGAGGACACTAAGGATCAGAGAGCCAAAGTGGCTTAGAATCACATAGGTAGCAATCTGCACAACCAGGATTTGAACCCTGGTCTTTGTGACTACAGATCTAACACTCTCTTCATTATGCCACACCATCTCGTAAACTCTAGAGCAGGGCTTCTTCATTTTTTGTGACTCCTGAACCCCACTGGCAAGTCTGGTGAGGCCTATGAACCCTTTCTCAGGATAAAGTTCTTAAATACACAAAATAAAGTACATATGATGACAAAGGAAAGCAGTTATGTTGAAATAGAGTTATCAGAATAATTTTAAAACAAGTTCTCAGAACCCTAGTTAAGAGCGCCTGCCTGACCTGGAGTCTTATGAGCAGTTCTAGGTATATACCCTTTTACAGGGGACAGAGAGGATCTGGAACACCCCCTTCTCTGGGGGTGTTGGTCTGAAAATGGTGCCTCACAGAAAAACGGGCAGAGGAGCCAAGGATGTTTAGCTTACGGACGAGATGACTTGGGGGAACCCTTGGGTATTTGGAGACCAGCATCTCCAAATATCTGAAGGGTGGTCCCATGGGAGGGGAAGCAGACATTCTGTGTAGCTCCTGAAAGCTAAATTACAAGTAGTGTATGAGTGGGGAATCACAGAGAGGTAGAGGTTTATGGAGTCATATAGTATATCCTGGACCTGAAGTTAGAAATGACCTTAAAAATCATCTGGTCTGACATCCTCGTTTGACAGATGAGGAAACTGAGGCCCGGACTGACCTGCCTGAAATCACACAGGTAGCATGCAGCAGCAGAGCCAGGGTATTCAAACCCAGATTATCTGACTCCAGATCCAGGGCATGATGCCATGCTATCTCTCCCTACCCGAGAGAACAGCCAGCATCGACCCGTCCAACCATGGACTTGGCTGTCTGATGAGACAGTGAGCTTCCCTTCTCTGGGCATATAAAATACATTATTTTTGCACAAGGTAGGAGATTGAATTCGGAGTCCCTTCTGATCCTAGGAGTCTGTGGTTAGTATACGTTATCAAGACAGTCACACACCACTCACTGCCCATTCCTCCCAGCGCTTTTCAGGAGTTGTTTTTGTTTTGATCCTTCTCTACATCCCTCATGTTCCTCAAGGCAGAATCAGACACTTAGACCCCAGCCATCGAGGTTGACCTTCCTGCCCTCTGGCCTTTCCAGAAATTCATTTCACTAAAAACTGAACTGACCTGGCTGACAGCAGCAGCCTGTGGCTTGAGATGCTTTAGCTGTTCCCTTCCCATTAGCTGTGTCAAAACGGGAGTTAACTTCCTTAGCACATGCTCCACATATGAGAAATTCTGCCCCTTCCCTGACACATTCAAGAAGCGAGTCAGCAAGAATACTTTCTTCGTGCTGGTCCGGGTAGTGGATGAACTGTGGTAAGCACTCGTGTTCCCTTTGTCTTCAGTGGGGATCGGGGTTTGGGACAGAAGAGCACGAGCCAAGGGCCAGTTCTTTAGACCTTTGGTATTCTGAGACATTTCCCCCACTGGGAGGGTCCGCCCTTCCCTCTGTACCTGGTACTGGCTTCCAGGACTGAAGAGGCTCATTACCAGGGCATGCAAGCTGTGATGGCTTTGGATTATTTTTTCCTCTCATGTTTCCTTTTGTCTGTTCACATACCTGCTAGGGATAGAAGCTAAGTGGAGACAGGCCCTGTGTCTTTACTGTGTTCATAGTGCCAAACCCAGTAGGCTACATTGCATCCTTTAAAGATTTACTCATAAGATAATTCAGCCTCTCTAAAACCTGTGAGAGGGGATCAAGCTGACCACCCTCAGCCAGAGTAATGAGGCTCATTAATATCAGGGAAGGAGTTCATTACTTCATTTAAAAGACACTTATTAAGTACCTACTGTGTGTGCAAGGCACTGTGTCAGTGCCAGCAGTACAAAGACATCTGCAACAAACACCTGTCTCAAGGAATTCACAGTCTCCTAATGGAAAACCATGAGCCATGTAGCTGTGCTACAAGACAGAATGTGATCAGGGGCAAAGAACTATGAAAATCTTGAGACGGAAGAGATCACTCTAGGTCAGTTGGGGAGGACTGTTAGGAAAGCCCAGAAGCAAGAAGTCTGCTCAGGAAGCTATTCTAGTCATCTAGACAAAGAGGGATGAGAGCCTAAAAAAGAGTTAATTTCAATGGGGATTGAAAGATGCTAGAAATGCTTCAAAGGTAGCATCGATAGGACTTAGCAATTGACAGCTTATGGGAGATAAGAGGAAAGATTCAAAACTGACGAGGGGCTCACGTATCTTGGTGACCAAGGGGCCCCTCCTACACACAGAAGTGGAGAATATGAGGGAGGGGCAAGGTTTGGAGGGAAGTCTATGAGTCTGTCAGCAGGCCAGAACAGATGGAGATAGTCAGCCAGGAGCCATACATCTGGGATCAGAGGTCTAGGGAAGGGTTGGGATGAAAGATACAGATGTGGGAGTTGTTTGTATAGAGGATATAATTAAATCACCAAAAGAGAGAATCTAGAAAGAGCCAAGGACAGAGGCATGGTGGCACCTCCCTCTAAGTTGTGGGATGAGGATGCAAATCCAGGAAAGGAAACGGAACTTCTCAGTTTTCTGGAGCATGATCTTCCATGGGACAGATTCTCTTAGCTAGGAATGTTGCCTTGCAATTTTCCCAGATGAAAAAAATCAAAGGTGAGGTGTGATGCTGGAGTAACACACCAGGTGCCCAAGGGGAAACATAATCCAAGATGCCCCGGGCCAACCTTGGCAGCCCTGAAACTCCTTCTGTGCTCTTCCATTCATCATCGTCACCAATGCGAGTGTAATCATCCTAACAGCCCTGATCACATCTCTCCTCTCCTCAAAAGCCTTCACATTGCCTTCCAAATAAAGCGTACACTTCTCCTGACATTCAAGGCCGTCCGTGGTCTGTCTACAACATTGCTTTCTCACTGTATCTACTACTGCCCCCCATTCACATAATCTGTCATTAAGTCAAACTGAATTATTTACTTTTTGTACTCTTTCCCATCTCTTTTGAATGAATGAATGAGAATATATTAAACATGTACTAAGTGCCAGGCACTGTGATGTATCTCCTTTGTACCTCTAGTCAGTGCCCCACACCCTTGCTCCCATGCCTTGAAAGGCTTCTCCTCTTTCCTCTCCACTTCCCACTGTTCAAGGACCAACTTGGATGTCACCTCCTCCATGAAGTCCTCCCTGATCTCTCTAACACCCCCCCTCCCCAGCTCAAGTGATCTCCATCTCCTCAGATGTCTGACCACTTTCTCTGGGAGCTGTCCTTGTAGTTAAACATTCTGCCTTGTATCTAGCACCTGTATACCTCAGTTATCCCTTCCATCAGCTTGTGAGGTACTCAAGGGGGCTCTTTATGTCCCTTTTTATCTGTGTACCCATAGGGTCTTGCACACTGTGAGTATCTAATAAATGTTCCGTAAATTGAATTGACCTGAATAGCCACTAAGAACTATTCAAAATGGAATTGAAAGCTAGAAGCAGTAAAGGAAGGAAGAGGAGGGGAAAACCCCAAAACCCAAGACATCCCAGTATTGCTGGTGCCGTTGATTACTACCCATGTGATCTTGGGCAAATCATTTCACCTCTCTGGACCTCATCTGTAAAGAGAGAATGCTGGACTCTATGACCGCAGAGGTCCTTCCCAGCTGCAGGTCCTATGTGCACCCTAATCCTCAGTGTATCTACAAACATTTTTTTTTGACAATGCAGTTGTTGCCTTACCTCTGATTTCAAGGTGAGCCCTTCCCACAGAACTCTGCGCCACTCAAGGTCTGTTTCTCTTACTGGCACCATGCTTATGAATGCTTGACTGTTTCTCCTGGGAGGCTAGCCTTGGCCCCCAGGGGCCATCTTGGCCATTTCTTTAAGACAGGTAGATGTCTGTAGATCATAAGTGACTCTGCGCTTGCTTCCTCTGGGTGATGTGGGTCTCTTTATCACCCCTCAGCCTGGTGGAATTGACTGAAGAGATTCTAAAGCTCCTGATGGAGTTAGTGTTTCGGTTAGTGTGCAGTGGGGAGCTGAGCCTCGCCCGAGTTCTCCGGAAAAATATCTTGGACAAAGTGAACCAGAAGAAGATGCTAAAGTGTGCCAACTCTGACCAGCCCCTGGCTGCTCGAGGAGTAGCTGCCAGGTGAGGCTTCCCTCAGCCAGCCCTCCCCAGCCTGTTCCTAGGGCTTATGTTTGCTGAATCCTCCAGGTCGCTAGCACATGAGCTAGGGGAGAGCAGCACAGTACACTGGATTGGGAATCAGGAGCCCCGAGTTCAGATCCTGGCTTGGTCACATCCCACCTGGGTGACCTTGTGCCTGAGCCTCACCGGGCTTCTCCTTCCTCACTTATAAAATAAGAGAGTTGGACTTGCGGCCTCTGAGATGCCTGCTGGCTCTAAAACTGTGAGCCATCCATCGTTGCATTTTCAGCAGCCTTTTCCCGTCCACATTTGCATCTATTGCTCCCTGCACCCCAAATCCTGCCTTCTAAGACTGAAGTGCTTTTGCAAGCCCACAGCAGGGTTCCCCTAGAGACCAGTCCCTTGTGTTTCCCAGACTGTGGGTCCTAGAACATCTTGCTACTTTGAGAGTTTTGTTGTGTAATTACTGTCCCTGAGGGGAGAAGTCAGCTGTTCAGGGTCACACAGCTGGTCTGGGAGAGGCAAAACTTCAACCCAAACCTTTCTGATTTCCTCCCAAGCTAGACCTCGATCCATTCCACCATGGGCCTCTCCATATAGTAACTACCAGATTACTGTATTAGCACCCCTACAATGAGTTTTCTTCTAAAGGAGGTCTATACAGGGTGTCCCAAAAAATCTTAGTGCCACCTTAAGCGCTAATAACAATGCACTAATACTTTTGCAACACTGTGTCTTATGTGTTCATTAGGTATACACTGAAAAGTAATTAAACAGATTTACTGTAAAAATATATTTACAGCCTGTATCTGTAGAGGATGTTTCCTTATCTGGAAGCTCCTTATACCAGTGAGATCCCATATCCCACCTCAATTGCTGCTAATTTTTATGAACAGTGATCAGTAAGGTAGTTGAGACCCATTGCATCCACCAGAATACTAAGCGATATTGAGTGAGCACCTCCCCAAAGTTACCTCTCCCAGTCAGTTTTCCCTCAGCTGTGTGGAGACTGTCAGAAAGGATGAAGGAGGCTGGAATCAAACCCTGTGTCTTGAGGGAAGTTTTCTCTTTTTCTGAAGTGTGAAGCAGTAGAGAAGACACCATGCATTAAAATAACCACAAACCAAAGGTCAAGTCATTTGCTCCACTGAGCCTCTATTTGCCCCATCTTTGAAATGGGCAAGTTGGATTAGATCATGTCTGTGTTCCCATCCAGGCTTAACATTTTAAGTGCCTTCCCATCCTAACCTTCTGCAGCTCCAGGTCTGCCAACACTGACTCCTTGCCCCACCTCATCTCTTTCAGACCTGGGACTCTGCACGACTTCCACAGCCATGAGATTGCTGAGCAGCTGACGCTATTAGATGCTGAGCTCTTTTATAAGATAGAGGTACAGAGCCCAGGCCTGGTCCCCAGAGGAGGGAGGGGAGGGCCCAGAGGAAGACTGAAGCCAAGCCTGGGACTGCCCCATCCCTTTGGAGCAGGTTGTGAGCTGTCAGGGAAGGGCTGGGCAAGGCTTCCTGAATCTCAGGAAAACCAAGGTGTTCCGGCTGTCAGATTTGTTTCATACTTCTTTTTTTTTCCTTTCAGATCCCAGAAGTTTTGCTTTGGGCGAAAGAGCAGAATGAAGAGAAGAGCCCTAACTTGACACAGTTTACTGAGCACTTTAATAACATGTCCTACTGGTAAGGAGGGACATGGGGCATCTTCACCTTCATTTCTCTGTCTGCATTTCACAGACCCGCATCCCCTGAGCCACCTGCTGCCAAGCTTGGGTGCATCTGCCCACCTAGGAACACTTTGAAAGAATTATGAAGTGACAGCACTTCTTATTTCGAAATTTTTTCTAATTCCCTGAATGAAACTACCTTTTAGGCACTGCGTAATTCTGAGAGCAAGGAAACCAAAGTCGACCAGACTAGCCACCCCCTAAATAGAATAGGCTTCCATCTCTGTAAACAAGGGAAGGACACTCAGCCATTCCATGAATTGTGATTCTGTTTAGGCTTCAATTTAAGATTTTCCTTTGGGGTTCTTAGTGCTTGGGAGTATATTTACATTTCAGAACTGGAAACCCAAAGTTTAACTGACCTTAGAGCCCTAAAGAACTTCCTTTCCTCTCAATGAAGGGTTGATCTTAACCTAGAACTGGGGAGTCTGACATCTAGACATCTTTAAACCACTGTCAGATAACTACTTTCCATTGCCAAGGCATTTCATCATCTTCGTTAATTTACTCATTTGAAGAATGGACCTATTCTGAGTGAAGATAACTAGGCCAGGGAAGGCCCTTGTATCAGAAAAGGATTTTGATCTTAAAGAATGCACCATGGGGCAGCTAGGTGGCACAGTGGATAGAGCACCAGCCCTGAAGTCAGGAGGACCTGAGTTCAAATGTGGCCTCAGACCAAACACTTACTAGCTGTGTGACCTGGGCAAGTCACTTAACCCCAATTGCCTTAAAAAAAAATACTCCAAGATGGTGTATTTTAACCTGGGGTCCTTGGACAATATGTTTCTCTGTGTTATTCTTCCAATACATTGTCTCCCTTACTGGCTTGTAAATTTCTCAAGAACAGGAGTGGAATCTTCTCTCTGTCTTTCTCTCTCTTTTTTTAATCCCCTTTATGGGGCTTAATGTAATGTTCTTTGCCAGTCAGGCTTTCGAAAAAGTCAATACCAGACGGTTAAGTGGATGAATGAAAGGAAGGAGGGACAGATAGATGAAGGCTTAGGTAGAGACGTGGAGGGATGAACGGATGGATGGGTGATCCTAAAAAGGACAGCCAGTCACATCTCTGCTGATTAGGAGCCCAGAATCACAATCAAGTTAGGAGTGACCTTGGTCTCCTTTTTACTCCAATGTCACAGGGTTCGTTCAATAATCATGCTGCAAGAAAAAGCCCAGGACAGGGAACGGCTGCTTCTGAAATTTATCAAGATCATGAAGGTAATGAAGGTTTAGCCATAGGCTACATTGTTTATTCTTTAAAATGGCCCTTTGGGTTGCACGAAAGATTTTCATTGCTAGACAGTTCCCCCCCTCCCCAATAACAAAGGCTTCTTTCTTCTTGTAGCACTTGAGGAAGCTAAATAACTTCAACTCCTATCTGGCCATCCTTTCAGCACTGGACTCAGCGCCCATCCGAAGGCTGGAGTGGCAGAAACAGACCTCAGAGGTGAGCTAAGACAAGGGCCTCTGCATCTGGAGTCTCAGTGATCATCAAGTAAGAAAGAAGCCAGTCGTTCATCCATGGATTTACTATACATGCACAAGGCATTCATGAGTAAGATATGAGCCTAGCCCCCTGGGGGCTGAACTTTGATCCTAGCACAGCACCACACAGTTGGCACTTAATAAGTGGTGGTAGTGTTTGAAGGACAAAGTAGAGAATTTCTGATTGTTTTCATCTTCAGTGATGAATTTTACTTATTGAGTCAGCAAACGTTTATTAATTAAGCACCTGGAAGGCACCAGGAATGCAGAGACAAAAATTTATAAGGTATGAACTTACTACCTGTGACCATGGTCAAGTCTCTTCACCTTCCCAGGCCTCAGTTTCCTCATCTGTAAAATGAGGAGTTTGGCCTAGGTCCCTGAGGTCCCTTCCAGCTCAAAAGCTCTGATCCTATAATAAAGAGCTTACAAGATAGTGTGTAATTTTCAGAATCTCTCTTTACACAGTGAATCCATTAAGCAACAGGCATTTAATAAGTATACCAAGTACTGTTATACAACACAGTCCGGACAAAGTCAAAAGAATGAAACAGGCCCTACCCTTAAGGAGTTTTCTTTTGGAGATAATGTATAAATAAATACCCCCAAAAAAAGGTACAGGAGGGAGGGGACTAAAGAAGAGAAGTAAAGAAGAAGTAAAAGGGAGAAGAATCATGTACAGCTTCATGTAGGAGGTGGTTTTGTGCCAAACTTCGAGGGAAACTAGGGTTTCTAAGAGACAAAGGAGAGGAAGGACAGCAGTGAACCGCAGCACCCAGCACATTGTAGGCATTTAATAAATACTGATTGATTGAATGAACCAGTGAGGTTGCCTGGTTTCATCCTAATCCTAGGGCGCACAGACCACCAGCCCTGCCCAACTGGACGTTCTTGTGAATCAGCCAGGGTTCAGTGAGGTCAGATCGAGAAGAGATCATTTCCAGTTGAGAGAACTGTTAAGATGGAAGGATTTAGAGCTGGAAGGAATTATAATCATCTGGTCACAGGTACTAGAAAATCCTAGATTTTAGAGCTGGAAAGTTGCTCAACCCCATTACAAATGAGGAAACTGTGAAGGGGCACAGGAGGTGAAGAGACACGGCTGCTATCACTGAGGTGGCCTAGCAGGGATGTGAACCTGGGGCCCCCGATTCCCCATCCTGTGCCCTTTCCACTGCAGCATGTTGGACTCCTGTGTGCCAGACACTGGGCTAAGCACTGGAGATACAAAGACAGTCCCTTCCCTTAAGAAGCTGACATTCTGTGGGAAGCAATGCAATCAGCCAGTCAATCAATAAGCAGTAACTTATTAAGCGCCTACTATGTGCTGATCAGTATGCTAAGTGCCAGGGGTGGAAAAAGAGGCAAAAGACAGTCCCTGCCCTCAAGGAACATATAATCTAATGAGAGAGACCACAAGTAAACACATAATTACAAACAACCATATGCAGGAAATAATCAGAAGGAAGGCACTAGGATTAAAAAAGGTTGGGAAAGGCTTCCTGTAGAAGATGGGTTTTAGGTTGGGACTTGAAGGAAGCCAAGAGGCCAGGATGAGGAGGAAGAGCATTCCAGGCATAGGGGACCAGCCAGAGAAAATGCCAGGAGTCAAGAGATGTCACTGGATTTAATAGCGAGTTTTGGGTTGTAAGGTATAAGAAGACTAGAAAGGTGTGGAGGAGAGTATCTTTGAACACCAAACAGGATTTTGTATTTGATCCTGTAGGTGTTGGGGAACCACTGGAGATTCTTGAGTAGGGAAGTGACGTGATTGGATTTGCACTTAATTTCCCAGGTGGAAAGCGGTAGCATCTGGGGGGACCAGGATAGGCCTCATGTAGGATGTGGTGCTGGACTGAGAGCTTTGAAGAAAGGGAGGATTCTGTAGAGTGCCAGTGAGGAGAGAGCACTTTCCAGGCATTGAGACTACCCTGTGCAGAGGCATTGGAATAGAAAATGGAATGTTGTGGATGAAGAGCAGCAGTCAGGCCAGGTTGGCAAGAACACGGTGTGCGTGAAGGAGCGTAATGTAAAGCAAGCCTGGGAAGAGCTTTACAGGCAGAATGGCCCAGAGCAGTGGGTATTTGATCCTAGAGGCAGTTGGGAGCCACTGAGGTTTTTTGAGCAAGAGAGCAACATGGTCAGACCTGCACTTCAGTAATATCAATTTTAGGGGCTGTGTAGAGTTTGAATTAGAGAAGTGAGACTGGAGGCCAGTTAGGGGGCCACTGCAGTAGTGGATTTAAATGGAATTAAATGAGGGCCAGAGTGACAGCAGGCGGTGTGAGGTAAAGCTTCATTGTATAGGTCTCCTCTCCCCAACTAAAGTTACCTCACGAGAGCAAACATTTTCTCTTTTACTTCTTGTTTTATCCCCTCACAGCATCTAATAACAGTGCCCTACACATCATGGGTGCACTCTAAAGAAATGAATGAATGAACACATGGGCTGTCATTATAAAAAGATAGCCCTACCAGCCCATCAGTGGAATATGCTTCTAGAATGGTGAAGGGTCTTTATTAATCCAGCCTCCTCTCTGTCTCAATACTCCCTTGTGACCAGTGGTAAAGCAGTGGCTGCAGGGATGCCCGGGGGCGAGGAGCACTGCTTATGTCCATGGAGCAGAGCAGTACCAAGTGGCCCGTGCAGCAGCTAGACCCACGATTTCGTGAACATCAAGCTCTCAACAGCCATGCTTTGCCGCTTGGTGACAGACAGGCCTGGCTCAGTTACACAGCAGATTTTGACCTGGGAAGATGATGAACCTTACTCAGCTTATTCCTGGACTTGTAACATGCCGGAGCTAGGAGATATCTTAGAATCAGAATGTAGGTGTGAAACCCAGAGGGACCTTGGCCGGCTGTCACACAGACAAGAAAATTGAGGCTTCAGAAGATTGTTTGTCTTGCCCCGGGTTGTCCAGCTGGTTAGTAACCGAGCCAGAACTGGAAGCTCATTCCCACAGTGTGGTGTTCCATCTGCTACCCCATAGTGCTTTTTCATATTCATCTCTTTGTCCTATGTCCTCCTCTAGGGCCTGGCTGAGTACTGCACTTTGATTGACAGCTCTTCCTCCTTCCGGGCCTATCGGGCAGCTCTTTCTGACGTGGAGCCTCCCTGTATCCCATACCTGTGAGTAGTATCTTCCTCAGGCTCAGAACTTCCTCTTTTGAGTAGGAGAGACATTAACCTGCATCCTTCCTAAATAAAAGCCCTGAACAGCAGCTTACGACCAAGAAACTTGAACCTTTAAATAAGACTCTTTCTCCAGTGGAAAGGACCCTGTGTACCAACTTTCACATCACCAAGTATTTTCTTGAATTTCCTTCTGTGATTACTAAATATCTCCAGACTGTTCCTTAGAGCTAAGATAGTGCCACAGAGAGAATTGCCTTCCCTCGTCATACTGAAGCCAGGTGGATCTTTCATTGTAGTCTGCCCCATTGGGGCCCCACAAGGATCCAGACCCTTGGGTGAGGGAGAGTATAGCTGTGGTGCACAGCACGGAGCTCTCCCTCATGGTGGAGGTGTGGGCAGCTAATCCAGCAATCATTATTACTCATATAATCCCTGTCCCAACTTAGTTCATCTTAAAATTTTTTATTGGTAACTTGTTTCAACACATCATCCAAACCTCTACATTTTTCTGATTGCATCCTCTAAAACAAATAAAAGTGACTGCAACTTTCCTGTTCCTTAAAAGAAAGGGCTAAGTATATTTCTGAATGGAAGTCCAGGGTGTAAGTAAGGTAATCCAATGTTGTTGTTGTTTTTCCAGATTTTGTTGCCATTTAAAGTTGTCTCCATTTGCATGGAGTAGGGAGTAATCATTTATATAGCACCTACTCTGTGCCAGGCACTGTGCTCACCACCTTACCAATGCATCTCATTTGATCCTCACAACAGTCCTGTGAAGTAGATGCTGTTATTATCCCTATTTCACAGTTGAGGAAACTGAGGTAAACAGAAGTTAAGGACTTGCCCAGGGTCACACAGCTACTAAGTGTCTGAGGCCAGATTTGAATTCAGGGCTTCCTGATTCCGAGTCCAGCGCTCCATCCACTGTGCCACCAGCTGCCTGAAATAAATGTACATATTGTTCTTTTTGACTCTGCTTTGTTCACCCTGTGTCACTTCATATACGTTTCCCCATATCTCTTTGGATGCTTCCTATCTGCTCTTCCTTATGACACGGCAACTCCATTCCCTTCATTTATCCTAATTTGTCTGGCCATTTCCCAGTCATTGAACAGTTTGTTTCTAGTTTTTTGCATTTACCGATAGCTCTGCTTGGAATCTTTTTTATACAGATAGGTCTTTTCTTGTCAGTCATTTCCTTGGGGTATGAACTCAGCAATGGGAGCTTTGGCCCAGAGACTATGACCCGTTTTCTCTCCTTTCTTGCATAATCATTGGGCCAGTTCACAGTTCCACTGACAGTGAATTGCTGGACCTGTTTTCCCTCATTTGTTGACTTTGCCTCGTTTATAAGTATGAGGTGGCGGATTTGTTTCCATTTTCTTTTCTATGATTATTAACAATTTTGAATACTTTCTGGACAGTTGTTAATGTTTTACATTTCTTCTTTTGAGAATTTTTTTTTGTATTCCATTACCATTTATTGTGAACCCCTCCCCCCCACCTTACTTTAAAACCTGATTTCAACAATTAGATGGGGAAATCATTCTATGTAATTGTTTCCATATTCGTAGGCAATCACAGATAGCCCATAAAGTGGTTACCACTACGAGAATATAATTACTTCTCTGTAGTCGAGCCTGTGTGAGCTTGATAGGAACACCTGAGTTATGAGTAGTAGCTAAGCCCTTTATTTACCAACCAGGGCCGTTCCTGGCTTCAGCCTCTCAGAGAGACCTCATAGAACTTAGAACTAGGAAGTACCTTAGAGAGCATCTAGTCCAGCGCCTCATCTTACAAGGAGGAAATTGAGGCCTGGAGAGGTCAAGTGAACTTCTCATGGTCCCTAGCAGAGAGAAGATTGAGACTCCAAATGGGTAGCGGTGGCTGCTTCTGCTGCTAGAGAAGGCAATTAAGATTCAGGAGAGCTATGTGAAGAAAACAGAACTCCCAATTTGATGGACAAAGAATATGTACAAGGGCTAGATAGATAAGCAAATCCATCCGCTACTCTTTTGGTGTCACAAAAATAGGCAGGAGCTGCCTGCCACAGAGGGGGTTTTTGGACACAAATTTCTTTCTTTCTTTTTTTAAAGAATTAATTAATTAAAAATAAATAATGAATAAATATGATGAATAAAAATAAATTAAATAAATTTTTAAAAGAAAATAAGGATTTTCTTTTATTATCAACTCAACAAACATGAGTATTTCAGTATACAAAGAACAGAAAACAGGATTGCATATGAAGCTGAATTTCCATTTAATTCAGCTTGGAGTTTCTTTTTAAGTATAGGTTATATTTAGAGAGGGAGCTGTTAAATAGTAGATTGAGAGCTGACTTCCAAGCCAGGAAGACCTGGATTTAAGGCTTGCCTCTGACACTTATTGTCTGTGTGACCCTGGGCAAGTTACTTAACCTCTCGGTGCTCTGGGCAGCGTTCTCAAGACTGTAAGCTGAAGGAGAGGTGCTAATCTGTGTTGATAGAGAGCATTTACTGTAGCACTGAAATCACAAGTCCAGTCCCTATCCTCATGTTACATCTAACATGGTGGTAACAAAATTGCCCTGCTTGTCTGTCTCCTTCTGAATATCCTCATACTCTCTTCTGTGTACTTATTAATATTTCATTGCCACTCCGTTTTTAAAAATGTCTTTTGTGCAGCACTACTCACCAGTTAATTCATTAAACCACCCCACCACCATCTTCCCGCCTGTCCCAGCCCTCATGGCAGCTTCCACAGATCATCTATCACAAGTGCTTTGTTTGCACAGAACTTGTAAATCAGGTTGGCCTTTCACACTAACGAAGTGCCTTGTTGATTATTCTAGGGGCCTGATTCTGCAGGACCTCACCTTTGTTCACCTCGGAAACCCAGACTACATTGATGGGAAAGTGAATTTTTCCAAACGTTGGCAGCAGTTCAACATCCTGGACAGTATGAGATGTTTCCAGCAGGCGTAAGTTCTGACATCAACCCCCCACTAGTCGTCACCCCCTAGTGCTTCCAAGATATCCTCGGGGACAGCTCCTCCCATCACCAATGCAGGGCCCAACCTCTCCACACCTTCTTTGGGGGATATTATTTCATGAGTGTCTGCAGCCAAAAGGGTCCTCACCAGATGGCCAACCTCATGGGAAAAGTCTTTTTGGTCTTAGCAGCACTTGTCCTCAGTCATGGCCTGTGGCTGGGCCTGGCCCTGAAGCTTTTCTAGCTTGGTAGTCCTAGAGAACCAAGAGGTTTATAAAGCATCTTTCGTATGTGTTATTTCACTTGGTCCTGGTAACTCAGTGCAGGTAAGTCATTTGGGCAGGTGTTGTTTGGAAAGGACTGCAAGAGATAGTGGTGAAACCAGTAAACGGGGAGTCAGAAGCTTAAGGTTTAAGGGGGGAGTCACAGAACTGGAAGAAACCTCAGAAACCAATTCCCACCGAAGCAAGAAGAATTCCTTTATAGGACACTAAACAAGGGGTCGGCCAGGCATTGGTTGAAGAGTTTTATTGAGGGGGAACACCCCTCCCCATTATCTGCCCAGGCAGCCCATTCTACTTTGGGGCGGCTGTTAAAAAACTTTCCCTAAATTAACCTCTATACAACATCCACCTATCCTTCCTAGTTCTTTCCTCTGGATCCAAGTAGGACAAGTCCAGTGTGGCAGCTTTTGAAATACCTGAAGATAGCCATCATCTCTTCTTCAGACTAAACATCCGCAGTTCTTTCAGCTAACCTGCTTATGAGTACGAGGCCCTGCACCATGCTGCTGCCTCACTCGGTCACTCTGCAGTGTCCAGAGCCTTTCTGAAAACGTGGTGGCCAAAACCGAGCCCAACACTCCAGATGTGGTCTGATCAAGGCGAAGTCCCAGGGCACAACGCTCTCCCTGTTGCCAGAGGATGCATCTTTCTTAACATAGTCTAACGTTGAATTTTCTTTCTCGGCTGCCATGTCATTCCTGTTGGCTAATCGAGCTTACAGTTCCTCCAAGACCCCCATTTCTTTTTCAGATGAACCATTGTCCAGCCATATCTCCCCAATCTTATAATTACAAAGCTGATTTTTTTTAACCCAAGTGTAAGATTTTATGTTTGTCCCCATTAAATTTCATCTCAAATGCAGCCCACCATCCTATTCTTGTCTGTCATCTTTCTGGATCTTGGTCTCTCATCCAAGTTGTTAGATAACCCTCCTTGCTTTGTGTCATTTGCATGTCTTGTAAGCATTTCATCTCTCCTTTTATCCAAGTAACTGATAAAATATGAAGCAGCACAGATCTAAGTACACGACCCTGGGTCACCCCACTGGAGACTTCCTCCCAAGTAAACGTGGAACCATTGATGACTGCTCTGTGGGTCCAGCTCAGCAGTCAGCTTGTTCCAGGTCCACCTGATGTACTCCCATATGGCCACAGCTCTCCATCTTTTCCAAAAGAATAGTGTGATGCTATTCTTTGTTAATGCTTTGCTAAACCTGGTAAACTCTAGAAGGAGACAACATGGTGTAATAGAAAGAGCACAGTCTCAAGAGTGAAGACCTTAATTCAGGTCTCAGCTTACTGCCTTGTGTGACTTGTGCAAGTCACTTAACTCCCCTTGGCCTCAGTTTCCTCATCTGTAAAATGAAGGAATTGGACCAGACAGCCTCTCAAGTCCTTTCCAGCTCTAGCTCCGTGGTCCTGTTATGCCATGATCTATCTTTAATATTCCTGGCCAGGATCACCCAGTCTAGTAAACCTTGGAGAAAAATAAATAAGATTTGTGTGGCATGACTTTTACTTTGAGAAACCATGGGGGTTTTTTGTTTTTGTGATTTCCACTTCCATTTCTAGATGTTCGCTAACAGTCCCTTTGAATAATACATTTCAGAATTTTGCCAAGCATCAAAGTAAAGCTCACAGGACTCTAGTTGGACAGCTGTTCTCTTTCCTTTCAAAAATCGGGAAAACGTTTGCTTTCCTCCCCTGACATACAATTGGTATTGGTATCCTGTTCTCTGTGATCTTCAGAGATCACTGGCATGAGCTCAACAGTCACATCTGCCAGGTCTTAAAAAAATAAAATGAAGAAAATTTTATTGGTATCTTTTGTTGTGACACTACAGTGTGACACCAGCATACCTCCAGTATATATTATTCAGTGTACCTTCCCAGTATACCTCCAGTATACTTTATACAGTGTATCTCTCTGTACATATTCCCAGCATACCTGCCCAGCAGCAAACCATCCTTTACAACAAAGAAAAATAGACGAGCAAAACCAGTAGACTCAGTGACCACACTGGTAGACTCCCCCCCTCCCCCCACTTCCTGACTGAGAGAAGGAAGTCCTGCTTTATCAGCTGTTATAGCAGGACTGATAATTAGAGTTCATCAAATTTGGATCCCTTTTGGTGATGATTCAGTTTACACTGTTGCCATTAATGTGCATATGGTTCTCTTGGTTCTGCTTACTTCGCTCTGTATCAGTTCATACAGGTCTCCTCATGTCTCTCTCAATTCCTCATATTTATTTTCTTGTGGAACAATAGTATTCCATTTCATTCATGTACCACAGTTTGTTCATCCATTCCCCATTCATTGGGTACTCACTTTTTTTTCTATTTGTTTACTAGCACAAAAGAAGGCTGGTATGAATTCATGGGAGCCTTTCTTTCTGTCTTTGACCTCCTTGGGACATATGCCCTATAGTGAAATCACATATGCCAGTCTGTTGTATACCCAAGGGAATAGTTCATCAGAGCCAAGGGATTTCAATTCATAAAAGGCACATAGGTGCTCCTTACTCATCTTGGGTATCAACTCACTGTTGGCCATTTTTGTTCTGCCCTTTTCAGTCCAAAGACCATTTTCCTTGGCAGAGAAAACAGAAACAGAATTCGAGTTGACCAGTTCTACCTTCCCTCCACCATCCGGTGTCCATCATCCCATTGACCCCAAGCAATGAAGTGATTCTGTCCCCTTCTTTCTTCTTCTTTTCTTCAGTGTAGCTTAGAAAAACGAGAGCCTTTGTTCTGACCATAACTGTCTTCCCCAGCCTGCGCTCATGGCGTACTTGAACACTCTGGTCGTTATCCCCACCAGGCCATGTAACATGTGTTTGTACTCACCCTCCATTCTCTGTCCTTGCTTCCATTTTCTATCCACATCTTTTTCAGATCTGGCTTGGGTGGTGAGTTCCCTGGGTATCTTTAGACAACTCCCAGCTTTCCCTCTCACTGAAATTATTTTCCGTTGTAGCTTCAGAATTTCATTCTTAAACTTCCCATCCCTTCCTGAGCTGACTTGCCCTGTAAATTTTAGTTTGTCAGCACTTAGCTATCTGTTCTCTGAACTTTTTGAAATCTGCCCACTCAGACCTATCCAGAGTGCTCGTACGATTCCTGTATTTCTGTCCTCTGTCACAAATCTTAAGGGAGAATCATCACTTCCTCCCCAGGTCCCCATCGCTCTCCCTTTAGTAACCAGTCTCTCCTTCTGGGTGGCAGATCCAGAATACAACTTGCTCTGCCTTTGGAGACATGAAATTACCGAGTCACAGCCTCTCTTGAGCCATTGCTTCCTCATTTCAAAAGCAGAGGTAACAGTACTTCCTCTTCTTACTCACAGCCTTGGTGAGAAAAGCACTTCTTAAATCTTTACATGCCCCTACAACTGTGAGTCATCGTCATCATTGTCATTGGTATTTCCCCATTTTACAGATTGAGTAAATAGAAGCTCCGGAAATTAAGTGACTTTACTACATATCACACAGTGGTGACATAAAAACTAGAACCTTAACTCTCCTTCCTGCCCCCTAGTGCAGTGCTCTTTTTGCTCCTTGGAAGCAGGTAGACTTTGAAGCAAAGTTCTTGCAAAGGTTGATGAAAGTATTTCTGGGGGTTTCCTAAGCCTCTTAGAAGCTTTGGGCCAGGGCCACTCAGGGAGTGAGATCAGAGAATCTTAGAGAGAGAAAGGCCCTTGGAAGTCATCTCATCCAGCCTCCCACTTAGGACCAGACTCCCTTTTACAGCCTCCCTGACAATGGTTTGGAGACAGAGTCTTCTAGGTTACTCGACTTACCAGATTTCTGTCTTTTTCGTGTCTGGTTTTGCAGACATTACGAAATCCGCAGAAATGAGGATATCGTGAACTTCTTCAATGATTTCAGCGACCACCTGGCCGAGGAGGCCCTGTGGGAACTCTCTCTCAAAATCAAACCCCGGAACATAACACGGCGAAAAACAGATCGAGAAGAGAAAACCTAGGAGGAGGAGCAGTGAGCGAGATTATCGCTCAGGAGAGACACAGAAGGCAGCTATGAGACTGGAATAGACATTTGGGCCTGTTACTGGACAGCTCACCCCAGCGGCGAACAATGATCCTCCCCCCAATCCCACACCCGTTCCCTCTCCCCCCCGGGGTCTGCAGATGCCTGGTTCTCAGAGCCAAATAACTTGTGCTTGGGCTGTCTGCCCAGTTGGACAGCAGCTCCCAAGCACCCAGGCCAGCCCCTCCAGCCAGTGCAGGAAATTCTTCTCCACATCCGTTTCCATTTTTCCCGGATGCAGCCAAGACTTCACTCCATACCTGGAGGGAGGGGACACAGAAGAACTCAGTGACTCCATCCCATTCATGCTTTGTGACTGGTTTGTGACCTGGTGTTTTCCTTTTTGGATGATTGACTGCTTGTCTTCAAGCCCTGTTTAACGCTGTGAAGATGCAGTGATCCCAGGCCCAGGCAGCAGAATGAGGGAGGAGCCCCTACTCAAGCCCTCCCCCCACCTCCTATATCTTTGACTTTCCTGAAAGGACAGAAGGAGGGGCTAAGAAGCCTTAACACCCTTGGCTTTAAGGACCGGGCCCCCGCATAAAAAAAGTTGTGTAGCTTAGGGATGATCTGGTCTCTTTGCGGAGATTGTTTCTGGGATGTGTGCACAGGCTGAGGATAGAATTGAAGAGATACTTTCCCAAACAGCCAGAGTTTACCTAGTCCCCGAAAAGGGGTCACCATCTGGCTGGGGACAGTGTTGCCACAGTGTCATCTCTTGCCTGCTTCCAGACTCGGCTCTCTAAAAGCAGAGGGTGTCAGACACCTCTCTCTTGTCCCTGCAGATGGTCCCATGCCTTCAAAAAGCTGCTGTGGTCTGGGTTTCCAAGAGCCAGGACTCCTCAGTGACAGTACCAGTCCTGGCTTCCTGAGGTATGGAGTGCAGGGGCAATATGTCAGTGTCAAAAAGGCTGGATGCCAGGCTGAGAAAGTCCAAGAAGCTCTGGTCTAAACCACAAGGCCTTGGAGTGGCTCCGACTGAGATCAGATGCAGGGGAAGCTTCAGCCTATTTGATCAGACAGACAGATGGGTCTGTTTCCAGGGACAGAAAGGGAAACTCTGCCCCCCCAACACCCTCTTAATTCTGTATAATCTTCCCACACTTAAAGGGCGCCTCTTCGGTTATTGACTCCTATGAAGCTTCTTTTAGAAGCCATGCACGGTCAGGGAGAGGTGCTTGGAGTAAGGCAGGGCTTTACCATTAGAGAAGGAAATTCTGGTTCAGCTTCAGTTCCTGGAGGCTCATTTTCTGGAATGAGGAAAGACTGTCTTGACTTGCAGAGTTTGACTGGAGAAGGAGGGATAGTTATGAAGGACGTTTCTTGTGTTCTGTTTCTTTCTCCTCACAATCTGCTGCCAGCCAGCCTAGTACTCTTCCATCTCTGGAGGACTGGGAGCCCCCTCGATCCTGAGTTCTGTTCCGATCTGTTTAGTGTGTGCCTTAAACTTCACCTTCCATCCTCTCTCCACCTCTTCTCTTGCCATTGCCTTCCTTCTAGGATGCTCCAAGGACTCTAGGGATGACTCCACCTCCTCTAGTCCCAACAGAGCCCTTCCTGCCAGGTTTATGTTACACATTGAATCAATTTTTGTCTTTCTTTAGGAAGAATTCTGTTTCTCAACAAGACTCACTTTAGGTGACCCCCTTCCCCTATTTAAGTCATCTAACAGAGAGAAAGAAGGCATGGCTGTTGGAAATAGACACGGTGGAACAACATAGGTTCCCCAGCTGGTCATTTAACACAGCCTGGGTTCTCATGATCTTTGGGGCATTTCTTTGAATCCACATCAGCACTTCTTCCATGCTGCTTATGGAGAACACAGTTGGCCACATAGATTGACAATCCAGCAAAGACCTTAAGGAAGGAGAGATGCAAACTTATTTGGGGAGAATTTTAGACTTGCCATTTGAGGGGAAGGGGAGTGGGGGAGGGGATGGAAACTCTCTTGGTTAGATAGAACCGAGGGCATCACAGTGAAGGGAAAGAATCTTTCAGCAATAGATTCCTGGCTTCTGCTGTTGATCATCTGGTGCATTTTTACAAGCCACGCAGGAGACTTTGGGATGGATGAAACCATGACCTGGGGAGGAGAGGGGTGGGAGTGTGTCAGGTACAGGGGACTTCATGCAATGTTCCCCCTCCTCAGTGGGACAGTCGAGTGGTCCTCTGGGGCTTTTGCTACTTGCAGCCCCAGTTTTAACATTAATGGAACAAAAAAAATTAACATCTGTTGATTATTTAAACAGATGTGGGCGTTTTGTTTTTTAGAGACAACCAGGACACTTCATTTTGCCGTCCATCATGGGCCTTTTGGCATCTTTTATCAAGAAGTCATATTTTTTTTCTGTAAATAGAGAGGAGAGAAAAAAGGAATCTGTGAAATGTTGGGCAGACCTAGAGCCGTGGTTCTGAAAGAGTCACTTTATTATTTAAAGCGTGCATTGTAGTCTAGATGGCTTATTAACAGTATTGTTTGTGTGAGGTTTTTTTTTTCCTTTTGTTCTGTTTTCTTTCTCTTTTTCTAAGTTGTCCTTTCATTTCAGTCTTTTTCCAGCTTCATTCCCACATCTGCCTCTGGACCCTTGGTTTTGGGGGGAGGGGTTGCCCATTGAATGTTGGAGTGAGAGAGAGAGAGAGACAGAGTGTGTGTGTGTGTGTGTGTGTGTGTGTGTGTGTGTGTGTGTGTACCCCAGTGCTTGTGAAACAAATAGGTGCTGGGGGGCCAGGGGAGGCCCTGCCTTTGGGTCCTGGGAATGTAAGATGACTCCTGGGCTTCAGAGCAGGCCTATAGGAGTCAGTCTCTGACTGCTGGCCCTGACATGTAGTTTTTGAGTTTCTTCCTCAAAAATCAACCCCTAAATACCATCTTCGCCCCTCAGTCAACTCCAGCTACAGATTTGTTCTGGTTGCTGGCCTTAATTCCCCAGCACTGAGTCAGGGATCCCCTTTCTTCCCCTTCTCAATTTGGATACTTATATGTGAGCAGGGACCCCCCTCATCCTGGCCTGTTTTCTTTGAACCACTCCCCTGTGGCAGGGAGGGTGCAGAGATGGAGAGAAAAGGGGGGTACATCTCTGTTGTGTCGCTAAGCAAGCTGGGAAAGGTTCCACCCCAGATACGGCCACAGGGTGCAGTGCCACCCGGCCTGCCCTCCCAGCACCTCTCCTGGCCTATGCCATTTGTGGTCTGAGCCAAGTGCCTTGGTGAGCCCACATGGCTCAACTGAGCTGTCATAGGTGGACAGGGATCTGTACTCCAGGTGTCCCTGCTCTGTAGCCCATTGCATGAGTTCACAGAGTGAGGTGCAGTATTTTTTAATTTATTGGTGAAGATTTGGGCTTTCCTTATACCCCACTATCAGAGTTCCCTTTCCAGCCTCTACCATTCCCCAGCTCAGTGCCACAGACCTGAGAACGTCATATGTATTTCATTTCTTACAGGGGAGAGGTGAGAGTTGAGTGGGGGGGAGGGAAGTGGGGAAGTGCTGCCTGAAAGGACAGAAGGGATCAGGCTTCATTGCCTTTCCATACAAGAAAGGGGTCTCTTCTGCCATGTATGTGTGCTGGGCAGGAGGAGGCCAGAGGCCAGTGGTGAGCCCATGTTTGAGCTAGAAGCCGCTGGTCTCCTCCTGCCTGTTCCTTTCTGGAGCCTCCCCTCCACAAAGCCCCTTCCCCTCTCCCCATGTTACATTGTACTATATATTCCCTACTAACCCATCCCGATAGTGACATCTCCCTGCAGACATTTCAAATGTGTAACTTTTATGTTAAAGAAAAATAAATACCAATGAAAGCCCCTGGCCTAATGATCATGTTTACAATGCATGCAGCCGTGTGTGCGAGATTAAAGTGACAATCAAACACACCCCTCAGGCTGGGCTTGCTTCTGTGTTCTGTGGCTCTCCTCTGTCTTGGGTTGACTTAGCGATGGAAGTGTTGGAGGTGCGTGGAGAACCTCCACACCTGTGCATTTGTGAGGCCTTCTAGTGACAGGCAAATGAGAACTGCCCCAGCGAAGGAGGAAGGAAGGGGAAGGGGGGAAGGTTACAGCTGATTTTTGACCCCCAGAAGTCAGAGCTAGGAACCGTGAACAGAAGTCACAGGGAGAGATTTCAGCTCCACCGAAGGAAAAACCTCCTGCTAAGGAATCCATATTGGGTATGGGCTGCCTGGGAAAGTGAGGAATTCCTTATTAGTGAAGGCTTCCAGCAGAGAGGATCCACCTTTTTCAGTGACATTGTAAGAGGTTCTGAGCCTGAGAATGCTGTGTAAAAACCAGACAGAAGTCATAAAATGTGTCCATAACACTAGTCAAGTGTCTGTCCCTCGTTTCCCCTTCTGAACGGGAAGCCCAGTAATAGTCATGGGGCAAAGGAAGACCTAACGTAGGTAATAGTTGGCTTAAATACATGAGTGGAGGCGGCCAGGTGGCTCAGTGGATAGAGCACTGGGCCAGAAGTCAGGAAGACCAGAATTCAACTTTGGTCCCAGACACTAGCCGTGTGACCCTGGGCAAGTCACTTAACCTCTGTTTGCTGTAATTCACCAGAGAAGGGAATGGCAAACTGCTCCAATATCTTTGCCAAGAAAACCCCATACTGGGTCATGAAGAATTGGACACAACTGAAGAATTGCACATCAAAAACGCCATGGGTTCCGTTCGGGTACTTCAAGATGGAATCTAGGAGGGGCAGCTAGATGGTGCAGTGTATAGAGCTCCAGCCTTGGAGTCAGGAGGACCTGAGTTCAAATCCAACCTCAGACACTTGACATTTACTAGCTGTGTGACCCTGGGCAAGTCGCTTAACCCTGATTGCCTCACCAAAAAGCACACACAAAAAAAATACACACAAGATGGAATCTAGGAATAAACTTTTCTCATGATTTGCACATTCATAGACCCCCTGCTGTATACAACGACCTGCGTTGTGAGAGATGGTCAGAGGCATTAGAAGACACAGCACCCTCCCGTCCACAGGGAGGTTACGGTCTAGTAGAAGAAGCACAGCACTTCTTAGGAGTGAGACAGATGGACCAGCTAGAGGAGACTAATTTGATAAGATGCCTGTTCTAATGAATAACCTTCAAGAGCCAGGGATTGCCAGGCTGATTTGACCCAGCTGTAGAAATGTCTTCTGTTACATTTGTCATCCTTTTTTCCTATGTCAGATAATCCTGCAAGGCTATTTTGGTGGTCTCCAGATAGGGTAGAAACTGAGTATGCTTTGTTCTTTTTTAAACAAAAGGAGGAATGATATAGGGGATGCTATTAGCTGTCCCAGAATATCTTTGTTTTGAGATTTGCTTTTCCATACTTCCCATGATGTATTGGGTAGAGCAAGGAAGATCTGGAAACAAGACAGGCCATTTCTCAATGCTCTTTGCAGAGAAGAGCAGGCCTGCATTAGTAGAAAGAGCTTCCTCATCCCCTGTTTCACAGATGAGAAAATGAACCTGGAGGGGATAAGTGACTTTCCTAAGGCCCCACAGCTAATAGGTGTCTGTGGCAGGATTTGAATCCAGTACACCAAGTCCAGGTCTTTATGCGTTATGCCATGCTGCCCCACCTCCAGAGTTCACAAAGGGGGAGCTCACTGTGGACTAGAATGGTTACGGACCTTGGAGAAGGCAGGACACAATGAAGGAGGTGGCATAAAGATGTGCATGGCCCCATTGAGAGCAGTAAAACTGACTGGAGGAAAGGTTCCATATGGGAGGTAATATTAGAAAGGTCAGGTGGGGCCTGCCCTGGAGGTCCTAGAACAGCAGGCCAAATTGTTTGGATTTTATCCTTTAGGCCAGTGGGTGCCCAAGGGCTGTGTGATGAGAGGATGGAAAGATGGGTCACGGGGCAGCTAGGTGGCGCAGTGGATAGGGCACCGGCCCTGGATTCAGGAGGACCGGAGTTCAAATCCGGCCTCAGACACATAACACTTACTAGCTGTGTGACCCTGGGCAAGTCACTTAACCCCATTGCCTAGCCAAAAAAAAAACCCAAACAAAAAAAAGAAAGAAAGAAAGATGGGTCACAGCCAGGCCTCTCCAAGATAATGAGTCATCATAGTTTTGTTTTTTGGGGTTTTTTTTCCCGCAAAACAACCACACCTCCACCCAGTACTGACCTAACTCTCCTGTTTCATCACCTTCTAAGCCTGAAGCCCTTCTCAGGGCATCTAACCTACCCAATGGCACCCACTTTTCCCACATAGTCACCGGGGGGGGGGAAGAGGGGAAATTTCTTGATAAGTGCACATGATCAAAAAAATTTGGAAACCAGGTAATCAGTCCAGCTTCCTGGTTGTCCCCCCACCAACCCTCATCTGCATATCAGGTATATTAAGGCTGTATTCTGAGGGTGAGGATGAAGCAGGGGTGACCAGACAAGGCCACAGAGACCTCTTCCCTTCTCTGAACCCTTGAGCAAAGGCACTGGAGAGGAATGGGTAGAGAACTGAGTTCGGAGTCAGGAAAAAATGAATTCAAAGCCTCCCTCTAGGTGAGGGTCAGAAGGGAGAGCGGATGGGATTGGCAGCCCCGAAATGAGCATGGATCTGAACACAAAGCACCAGCCTCAGTCTTCTCTCATTGCTTCCAAGAGGCTGGAGTCCACTAAGGGAATGATCCCTGCTAAGATAAACAAGGCATGAGCCCCAACATCCCTGTGCTGTGGCTGGATTATTTCAAGGCTGAGGACATTTAAAAATTCCTCTGGAAATAACCATAATCTGTCAGCTATGCCCTTACCCCAGAACTGAGGAGATGGGGACCATTCTGTATGCGTGCCTCTCGATTACATGGAGGAGCTGGGGATGTCTAACCTGGAGAAAGCAGGCAGAACAAGGACCAGTAAGAGGGTTGTCATAGGGGGCAGCTAGGTTGCACAGTGGATAGAGCACCGACCCTGGAGTCAGGAGGACCTGAGTTCAGATCTGCCCTCAAACCAAACACTTGACACTTACTAGCTGTGTGACCCTAGGCAAGTCATTTAACCCCAATTGCCTTTTAAAAAAATGAAAAAAAAAAGAGGGTTGTCATAGAATCATAAGAGCCAGAGTTGAAAGGGTCCTTGGAGATCATCCTTAGAGATCATTTTATTGATGACGAGACTGAGACTAGCAAGAAGATGTAAATAACTGTCTTGCCCATGATCACTTCGCTTCTGAGTGTTAGGACTAGTCTCCAAACCCATGTCTCCTGACTCAGATGTTATCTGAGATCAAGACCCGAAGTAAAGTTGTAGGGAAGGAGAGGGGAGAGGAGGCAGAGTCTGTAAAGGACTCAGCTGTGAGAGAGCCCCAAAGGCCAATCCCACTCCTGAATAAAACCGGAGTTTTTGGAGTGACCTGTCCAAGCCAAAAAGTGGAGTGAGGAATCAGAATCCTACCGGTTCTAGGCACGTACCCATCTAGAAGGAAGAGAAAAGAAGAAAGAAAAGAAAAGGAAGGAAGGGAAAGAGAAAGAAAAGCATTTCTCAAGTACCATGTGCCAGGCACTGTGCTAAGCATTTTTACGCAGTGTGGGTACAGGAAATCTGGAAATAAAATTTTGTCTTTCCAAGCTCAAAGAGGCACCTGGTATAATGAAAAAGCACCCTGAATCCTGACCAAGATAACCTGTGTCCTGAGTCCATATTCATACTCTGCTACTTCTCTTTGTGGTCTTAGGAAAAAAACATTTCTCTTTTCTGAGCTTCAGTTCCTTCATCTACAAAATTGGGGGGTAGAGATGGGGCAGGCTGAACTAGGTGATCTCTAAGGTCCAAATTCAGTATTTCTCACCAACTCTCCTCCACCCAAATAATGATTTCCTCTTTTCTCCATTGTGTAAAATGGGCCACGTCCCAGGGAGGAGCTCGGCTTGATTCGTGATATCCATGAAGCTCCATGCACAGCCATCACCCCTTTCCTCTCCCCCAATAGATACTGTATGCTCCTGGTAACCCTTCTGACCAGAAACACTAAGGGGAGGACTTCACAGGGGGGATTCTCAAGCAGGTATGTGAGGATCAGTGCTCTTCTCCACTCTGTTTTCTGTTGGTCCTTAGAGGAAGGAGTGGGGCCTAAGGAGCACTCAACTCTAAGCCGTCCAAAGGTAAGAACAGTTGAGGTCTTGAGTGAAGGCCATGGCCCTCCCAACCAGCCTTCAGGGAGCCCTGGTAGGTCAAGTTCTTGGGGAAAGGAAGGAGGAAGGCTACTTCTCAAGCCTGCTGCCCCCAAACACCCAGGCTCTGCTGTTCTTGTGGTCACTAATACAGTCACACCTGCTTGTTTGCTGAGATGGGTGCAAGTTGACCTACGTTCATG